CTGAGGAAAAGATATTTGCCCAAAGGACCTATTGGCTATATGCTGGTAATTCCTCCACTAAGAGGACTTTGGGTGCTGAACCAGTCAACCCCCTTTGGGGGCTCAGGCTGCATTTCACCAGGGCTGACTTTTGCCAGGTCACACAACGGTATCTTGAAAACGGACTGCTTCAAAAGAGGGCCTGTGATGCTGCCCTGATATTTATGTGAGGACACTGATTAGGAGCTGACCACTCCTGTATATATATGCAGGAGTGTGTATATGTATATATATATATATAATGTATATGTATACACACACATATATACATACAGGAATACTTCCTGTATTCAGTTACAGGAAGGGAGCTGCTCCTTGGTCGAGAATATGAAACTGCAAGCATTCACAGACTTGCAAGAGACAGTGGACAGCATAATGCTGATCGTTTCTCAGAATGCAGATAAGCTAAGTTGACGGAGCCCAGCTGAGCTTTGCATTCTCCTGAAACTCATGTTGAAGTGATTAATAAAGGGGTTGAAATGAAAGACAAGGAGGTCTTGAGGTAAGGTGGGGTAACAGGGGACACTAGACAGGGAAGTTGATTTGAACAGAATAAGGAACAAGAATTCCTCCGGGAAAGTAAGGGAGTTGGCACCTATTAGTGTGATCTCTCCCTTAAAGCAAAGTCCTCTCAATCTGTGTATTTTCACTCTTGAGGCCTTGATATCTTTATTTGTGCTTTCAAAGTCTCTGAAAAAGACAGAAGATCAGACTACGCTAAAAAATACTAAAAAGTAATGACAGTAAGATAAATAAAATTGAGAGCTCTAAAACACACCTATATTAAAAAATATATTGACAGTGGTTTCTTGGATTTCACTTTATATTATTTTATATCCTAGGGTCAAGCATGGTAGTGGATGAAGAAAGCTTGACGGTCCCCATTAATAAAGATGCTTATGAAGCTCTTAAGAAAAGAGAGTCCTGTCTAAGTAATCTCATTTACAAGAAGTTTGCTTGTATGCTGGCCTTCAAAAGCACAAAACGTCTTGTTGAAGTATACAGGAGAAAACTAAAGCATGGGATTCACATATCTGTTTGCAAGGATGATCTCACAACACATGAGGCTGATGCTTTGGTGAATGCAGCCAATGAACATCTAGACCATGCAGGAGGTCTTGCTTATGCCCTTTTGAATGCTGGAGGGCCAGAAATAAAAGAACAAAGCAATCTTCATATTCAGAAATATGGAAGTCTCACAGCTGGCCAAATAGCTGTGACAGGTGGAGGAAAGCTTCGTTGTAAGAAAATTATCCATGCAGTTGGTCCAAGATGGTCCTTCTATGAAAAAGAAACATGTTGTAACCTACTTGAAGAAGCCATTGTGAATGTTCTGAAGTACGTGAATGCTCCAGAAAATAATATCAAGTCTGTGGCTATCCCAGCAGTGAGTTCAGGTGTTTTTGGCTTCCCACTCACTTTGTGTGCTCAAGTGATTGTAATGGCTATAAAGGAATTTGTTGAGAAGAGTCCACCAAGCTGTCTCAGGGAGATCCGTCTGGTGAACATTTGTGAGCCTACAGTTGCAGAAATGAAAAAAGCCTGTGAAAAGTTGCTAGGTGATAGCAGTTTGTTTCAGGAAAATCTATCAGCTCTGCAAAGCCAGCCTCCACATTTCTTCGTAGCTGGAGGAACTCATTTGAGTATCGTAAGAGGACTTATTGAAGAGCAGAAGGTAAGTCTGTCCTGTAACACGTTCAACATGGAGTTGCCTCCAGGTCTCTATAGGATTGGAGCCCTATACACGTATGGGTCCACTGAATAGTAATCTTCTCATCTTGACGAGATTAAAACAAACGGTCAATAAATTATATTTGCATGGGTAAGTTTTTAGAAAATTATTGAATGTTAGAAAGTTTTTATTTCTTGTTTGTATACATGCTATAATAGGAGAATGGGAAGCAGCTGAAAGGTTGGATGATTAATAATAATATATTCCTATGTTAATGTTTATCTTCGTTATCAACATGATAGAAGTCCTTATTTTAGCATGCATTCCCTTGAAATCTTTGTTTCTTTGTTTCTTTTTTCTTTTTTTCTTTTTTTTTTGCACCAAGCCTTCTCTCTTACAATTTGAGAAATGTTCTCAGAGGGGTCACTACTGAAGTTATCATCACTGAAACAGCTGAAAATATCTTACACAAACAACGCGTACTTTATCTTTAAACAGTGCATCATTTGAACTATTTAACTTAGAAAACCTGATGCAAAATATGTGGGTTTCATCATGAGTAATCCAATAGAGTTGTTAGACTGGAAGCTAAATGACAAGAATGGCACTTGCTTTTAGCAAATACAAAATTTAAAACTTGCATTAAAAAAAATTGACGAAATTTCATAACTGACAATTTTAAAGAAATACCTTAATTCTGTAGAAAGTTTATTTTTTTGAGACAAGAGTAAAGAATAGCAAGGTTGACATTGTGGGGAATTGTAATACAGTGCTGAAAGATAGCATATGCCTTCAAGGCTATTAGGAGAATACGGACCAGTCTTGTATCTTTAGGCAGTCTTGAACAATTAAGGTTAGAATGATTACTGCTGTTAACATTCCATCCCAAGTTTTTTTGCATTTTACATATTTGATTTAAAATATATGAGGCCTAGTTAGTGCACTAAGGAAATCTACTGTCTCCACTGGGCAGTGGAAGCAACCGTAGCTTTGCAGTTCCCCTATGTGCACTGACCCCAGTTTTGGATACCAGTGCGTACTACCCTAATGCTGGGAGCATCCGCGTGGGATGTGGTAGCGGACGTAGCCCTGTCTGCTCGCTGATGACTGGCTGCAGAATTGCATTTGGTGAGGTGCATGCGGGTCACACCTATATCTGCGATGCTAATTCTGTTGAATATGCTCTGATGACTTGAACAGGTCTCATGCATGGTACTGGCTTCTGAAAAAAACATGACTTTACTGTGCTAGAAGGTGTATCTTTGCTATGTTCCAGCTCTGTCCTTAGTAGTACTGAGAGAACCTTTCAAGCAATTCATCTGCTGCAATCAGGATTTTTCACAAGGAACTGTTCCTAGAGGGAATGCTCTTTGTAGTAGCAAATCTTGTAAATAGTAAACTTGGAGTGTACTGAAACTTCTTATTCTTTTCTTCCAGACTACAGCTATTGTTAATTCTGTGTTCATGGACGGCAGTTTTCACAAGGATGTTTCAAATGGAATACTGCAAAAAGGAGGTCCAGCTCTTCAGGATGAATTTAGGTCTCGTTTTTTTAAACATTCTTCATCTTACAAGGAGCTCATAAAAACATGTGGGTATAATCTGCCCTGCAACTCAGTACTGCATGTTGTATGGCCGCAATACTCCCACAAGCTGTTGCTACGCGAGGTGATGATCAGTTAGATTGGATTTTAATTGGTGATTTTCATGTTGAGTAATGTCAGGACTAAAACACTTGCTTTTCCTGTAGGAACTAAAAGCTGCAGTGACAAGATGTTTGGGTTACATTTGGAATCAGGAGTCTTCTTCAGTTTCTTTCCCCGCAAAGGGGATTTGGTCGCTTTTGCTGCCCATGGATACAGTGGCAGAGGTCATGATTGCAGAGGTTCTTAATTTTGCCATGGAACACCCCGAGAAGAAGATAGCTGTACAGTTTGTGCTCCACCCAGATGACTATGATGCCTATCAGGTAATATATTTGGTGTTAACCACCAATAAGGAGAACCCAAAATAGCTGTAAAAAAAGTTCCCATATATGACAGCAAGTTAAAATACTCTGAATTACATACTATTTATAACATATTTGTGAGTGGCAGGTCCTTTATGTAGCTATTTGTCTCTCACTAACAGGTATTACTTATCTTTACAAATCTCTGTTGTCTCTTCACCAATCCAAAAGTCCTCACACTGTAGTCAGATAGCAAGGCTATTGCTTAGAGAAAGCTCTGAAATTCTCAGGACTGTCAGGGATCTTGTAACAAAGACTCTATCCATCCTTAGTTCATTAGGAAATGAGCTTATTATTCATTAGGAAATTTCTTTAACCAATTTCTTCACGTGAAGTATCCCAGGACAAAACACTGTCAACTTAGCATGAGAAAAGGACTGCAACTTGCAAATAAGCAGTAGTGGCTGCAGTCAGCCATTTACACCTTTGGAATATTTGGCCTAGGTGATTAATATGCAACTATCTTAGATAGCCATCTATTATAAAAATACAGTGTTTGCTCCTGCTCCCATTTAAGTCCAACCATCTATTCTTTCAACAGGTGCCATATACTGTAACAGTCCCATAAACTCTTAAGAAGGCTGTATGATAGCTGTGTGCTCATCAGGGCACAGCAGAAACCCTTTGCGCTGCATAGGAAAGGCAATTTGCCATAAGCCAAATCCAGAGCCTAGTGGAGTAGTGCTTCTCAGCCTTTCAGTGTGAGATCATGAAGAGGCTGTTTGCAGTAAAGGTAGGGGGATAGTCTTGGGTTTGGAGCTGAGTAAAGATTCATCAGCATTCGACCACAAGTAGCAGGCACCTTCATCTACTGTAGTTTCATGGGTTCCTCATATGCCACAGCCACAGAGTTGGTAAAGTTGCCATTCAGTACGTAACGTGTCTTACCTTTGGAGAATTAGAGAAACAGGTATGCATTTGATCTTGTCAGTAGTAACAGTTTGGGAAAAGCTGACCGAATGTGAACTGTTAACATCATTTCAGAATTTGTTGTGTGTAGTTATAACTGTAAACTGCTTATCTAATAGAATTCTGATGAGACAAATTGCATATTTGATAAGAGGTTGCAAACTGCTCCTAAACTTTTCTCTTTCAAGATTTTCCAGAGCAAACTTTCTTCAGCAGCAAGCAAACTGGAAAAAAAGCAATATTACAACAGAAGCGATCATTTGAGTAAGTAACGAACAGAAAGGGTGTTTCAGCTACATCACCATTCCAGACTGAGAATCTAAAATCAATTTCTGTAAAAAGTACCTAATACCTGCATATGTGCGGTGGGGAAAGGAGAAGGCAAAAACGTATGAGTGCTTTGCATTTTGATAGTTTTAGTGTTTGGTAGACTGGTTGCTAAGGGATGAAATGGTCAAGAGGAGTTCTGATGCTGCTGGGAAAAGGTGACACTTCCTCTGAAATTATATTTTGTAAAAGTTATTTTAAAAGTTACTAGCTCTAATAATAATGCTTAGTTTCCTTTTACTATTTCAGATTACTGTATAAATGAACTGAAAGTGCTGAATTGACTCCTGAAACTGTCATATTTTGTCTTCAGAAGTTAGATCAAAGATGGGAGATGAATAAGTTTAAAATGATATTTCCTTAAAATCAAATACATGTTTGAGGAATCTAGTTGTGTCAGTTATGCATTTGCTTCTAACTAGTCATGTTTCAATCACAGTTTCCACCATGTCAGGAATTGGTGCATGTCATAAAATTGGTCCAAAGGCTGTTTCAAACCTAAGTTAGATAAAAATTTGTAGATAGCTACTAACATGAAATTGCATTTTAAATAAATGACTTGTACTTCTTCCTCGTGTTCCTGCTCTGAAAGACTTTTCCAGTTACATATGGGCAAAGTTATGTCAGCTTCTCTCCTCCTTCCACCTCAGAGGACATGAAAGTATTTGACCTGGATACTTTAAAGTAGTGATCATCAGGTCTGCTGAGTCTAATTATGCCTTATGAGTCTGAGTGGGACTTGTACATTATACATAGTCATAATTTTTTTTTGTTTATTTTGAGAGAAGATATTGCCAAAATGATATTGTTAAGAAGGCCTTAAATTGAAGCTTTTTCTGTGCCTCTTCACCAGTCCCCTTGTTTTGCAGTATTAACATTTAAAACGATTTGTTTTTATAGCTTTTCCAGAATCTTTTTCAGATAATTTTTTTCCTCACTTAATTATTAAAACTATAATGAAACTTAGTCTGGCCCTTCCTTACTACGGTCACAACTGTACTCCACAGCTTTGTCACGCTGAGCAAGTATGATAAGTCTTGTACGACTGAGAAGCAAGGCCTTTGCCTTATCACTTCTGGTTTTCTGTTACAGTTTTGTTCGGCTTTTGGTTAGGACCTTGTGGCTGGCACTGGAGTTGAAAAGTACACGACAGGCCATGAGCAAAGTTTCAGTTCAGGGAAGTGAAGACATTGTGCTAAGATCATGTTCCCTTAGCCCTTCCACATAAACCAAACATAATTATATATGGTTTCCTGGGTACAACTCGTCAATATGCCAGGCCTCTGCAAAGAATTCAGGAATCATAGTTGAAGATACCTATCTTGGGAAAAATTTGAATAGAGAAAAGGTGTTGTTGCTTGAAACGTAGTAGTGCAGGGTGAGCATGAATGAAATGTATATTTGCACTGATTTATTTCTTGCTTAGGAAAAGTTTACAAATTTAAAATACACCAGTTGACTTTTCCTGAGCAACATTTCAAAAGTACACTGTTTTTGTTAATTTTGGCATTACTTCTCAGTCTCACTTACGAGATTTGTCACTGACGTTAACAGGGACGGGATTGGGCTCTCCCTTAAAAGAAGATTTTCAAAAGTAAAAATGATAGTCAGTGCTTAATCATTGTCAGAAGTCATTCAGAGGATATCAAATAAATTCTGCATTTTTTCCCCCCTTGGAAAAAAAGATTACACACCGCCTGGTGTGTAATCTCTCCTTTGAGCATACCAGAAGAGTAGAATGCTTCTTACACTGCACAGTCTTGGATTACATATAGAAATTTGTGACAGCATTGAAAGCTTTTTACTCTTCTAATGCCTTTATGTAAACAATCTTTCTTCCAGGTACAGAGTCAGGCAGACAAAGCGTAAGAGAGAGTACAGACAATAGAACAGCTATTGAACTTAAGGGGAACACACTTGCAGCATTGGAAGCAGCAAAACTGTGGATCCAAAACATAGCACAAGCTCAGGAAAATCATTGTGCTACTATTGAAAACAACTACATTTTTAACCTCGGTAAAAAAGAGTTTGCAGAACTAGCTCGAGAGCAGCATTCTAGTGTACGTGTATCAGAAGAAGTGAGAGATGGAAAAGCAAGACTGGAATTTCATGGCCCCCCTGCTGCTGTCATTGATGCAGTGCTTGCAACTGAAAAATTACTCCTTCGTATGCAAGAGAAGACTTTGGCCAAACAGGAGGAACTGCTGTACTTTTTGGGTATGTAAAATAAATAAAAGCCTTAAGTTGGCATACATAAGAACAAGTATGAAGCAACATAGATCTGTGTATTGCCGATATTAGAAAGACATGTTCAACAGTTCACACATACACTACATTACTGTAATTATTGAGGTCACTCTCTTTATTGCGTGAGCCCTGAAAGACCATTTGTTATCATACTGACTTCAGTTACTCACTGGGCAATATTCCTAGTGGGCCCCAGTTTATGCTGGGGCTGGCCGTCATCATACATCCAGCTGTAATCCTGGCTTCCTACAGGACAGGTTAACTTTAAAGTCTGACTGCTGGTCGCTTAAGAAATTTGCACTTAATTGACCCATACTTTTGCTGAGCTCTTTTGTTAGCTACCAGCTGTAGCTCTGTTGGAGAACCTAGCAGCGGACTTGTTCTGCAAGGTCTTTGACTTTGATTGATAGCTGATATAACTAGTGGAATTACAAAAAGTTACTGAGCAATCCCTTTTTCCTAGTGTTTGTACAGTCATTTAAGATAGATTCCACTGTATAAAGGTAGGCAGTGGAGAGAGATAATAGAGATGATAAATTGCTTTTTTTTAATTGTTTTTTTCTGGTTCCTTTACTAAATGAACAGAATAACATTATGAGCAAAGTTATTGGCTAACTGAATTGGTTTAAGTATTCCTACATCAGGACAGGCTTTCTTTTTTCTGGCTTAGGTGTACTAATACCAAAAGGCAGTTTTTTTTTTTTTAATGGGACTTTTTGCCCCACTAACTTCAGCGAACTCTGGGTAAGGCCCAGAGCATTCTTGATAAATGCTAATGTTTGTATTTTTGTTAAAATAAAAAATAATTTAAAAAAAAACACACAACACCTCAGCCATAAGTACATCAGTGACTTACAAGAGGTAGGTAGCTCTTAGAACAAACAAACAAACCCCTAAACGTGTGCCAAGTACTCTCAGTAATAGCCTTTGGCATCATTGTGCTCTTCAGAAGTCCCTGTGATAAGTGCTGAGCTAGATGATAACCTGAAATTGTTTGCCTTAGCCTCAGAAATATTTAATATTATTTCTTCTTAACTATAAAAACCAAAATAAAGTATTGGATCCCTTTTCCTTGCCTTTACTCCAGGTGGTATTATAAATAAAATGTTTACTCCCTTATCTACATTCAGGCCAACCAGAAGCAGGTCAGCTTTCAGAAGGACACCTTGATAGGACAAAGAATACTAAACGCTTCCAGATTTCACTGGTGGAATCACACCGTCAAGAATTTAAGGACAGACAAAAACAGTTTGAAAAAGCTGGGCTTCTTGTTCTCAAGGTAAAGAGGGTATTCATTGCAAAATTAAATCTCAACTGATAAAATACAGCTGAACTAAGTGTTTAACATGCTTAAACTTGGATGAACTTTGGATTTGGATGAACTTGGATTGCTTTTAAAGATTAGGATCAAATCAGTCTAAGCCTTAAAATAGATCTAGACTTTACTTCCAATAAAAAGACCTAGTATTTTAAACATATAACAAATAATTACTGAAAGAATATGGTTAAATTCTTATAAATGTTTTTAAATGTATTGTATATTTTGTGCCTCAAATGTTCCTTTAAAGGGCTCTAAAGGGACACAAAATTCAGCTATTAAGTAGCGTATTCTCAGACACTTTAATGTAGTGTCTCTTTTCTTCTGAGCTTGACACCAAAAATTAGCAACTGAATTTGTCAAGAGTTGTAATTTCATTACTAACGAGTTGAAGTTGAGCACTACTTTTTTTTTTTTTTTTTTTTGGAATCACTGCTTTGCTATATGGGCAGAACTTGAGTTTGTGCCACACAGCAAAATACCAGAGTCTCTAAACACAGGGATTTGTGCGTTTAACAATAATAGCAGGTAACTGGAAACCAGACTGCCATGTCCCTGTTAAGCTACTGCATGACCTCAGCCACTTATGTTAAGGCCTCTGTTTTTATTGACAGTTTCAGGAGACTTGACCATTTCACTTAAAGGCAAAAACAACAGAAAAGGTATACAAATGATGTACGGGTGGGCACTGCTACAGACCCTTTCATATGAAAAATGAATATTTCAATTTAAATATTAGCAAATATGAACCAGATGAAAGGAAGTGATTAAGTCATGTATTTTTGATCTGTAGAACTAATGAAGTTGTTGAATCTCGACCCAAAAGCTACACCAAAGTTTAAAACAGTACTGCACTGAAACCAATCATAGCTCAGTTAAATGACTTTTAATAGAACAGAAGTTTGATCATGCTTTTGCACTTTCTAATTTTTAGCTGAGTAGCCAGGAAGAGTCTGGCATAAGCAGGCTACTGCAGAAGAGGCCTTGCAGGCCCCTGGTATTGACTATTGCTACAGGCCTGTGGCTGGCCCACTGGTCAGGTCTAGTGTGCCAGTGAGATCTACAGGGGCCAAACTTCCCCAAAGGTCCTTCTAGTGTTACTCACACTGCATGGAATTCCTATGAGGCAAAAGCTACCCTAAAGGCTCTCTTATTTGCAGACCTTTTCACGAGAGCCCAGTTTGCATCAGCTCTGAAGCTGTGCTCAATGAGAGCTGAGGTTCTCCATGCCTTACAGGACACTTGCAGTCCTTTGCAAGGTTAGGCTAGGAGGACTGACACAGCTTATTCTGATTACTGGTTGATACCTAACCTGTTCAGCACAGCTCAACTACTGAAAATCAGTACAGTAAGATATATTCTCACTGATTTCAATAAGCATGGGATAGTGGCGTGGTTTGTTTTCTCCTGACCAGCTGCACGCTTCATCTGCATTGACTGCGTAGCTGATAAGGCACATCAGCTAAGTCAAGAGTTCTTAGTTTGAAGAATATAGCCTGAACAAGGGCATTCATGCATTTTACTGATAGTGGTCCCTTCCTGTTTGCTTACATTTCACTGCTATTTATGTTATAGGTAGAAAAAATACATAATCCTCTTTTATCTGCTGCATTCCAACAAATGAAAAAAAGAACAGAAGAAAAACAAGCTACCTCCAAAGTAAGCCACAAGTTGTACCAGCACGTTCCTGCTCAGTTCTGTGACTTGGTATGCCAAACTGGGTTTCACAGAACATACTCACCACCAACAGGTAGTAACCTGCTTTTGCATCTCTAATCAAAATGAACAGTGACTTGACTGCTAAAGTTGGATTAAGGTCAGAAAAAAATGACATTCCTCCACAAGTACTGGTTATTACCAGTATTTAGAGTCATACGAGCTTAATATTTTTCTGTAGTAGGGTTTTACTATTTTTTCCTTCCTAATACTGTAAAAGTCAAGTAAGACTCTCAGAAGACAAGCCTGGCTTCTAGTCTAGCCCAGCTAGACTGTTGACAATTCTGTTGACAGAATTGTTAATATACATGTAATGCCACGTCTGAGCCTTTATTTTGTTGCATTACTCGTTAAACAAGAAGCTCCTATCTACTTGCTGAAAATATGTATTCCACATCTTAATGCTTTACAACCTTTACAAAGGAATTCCAGAATAATAGAGGCCGGAAGGTACCTCTGAAAGTCATCTAGTCCAACCACCTGCTCAAAACAACTACAATCAAATAAAGTAAATAATTTGAGTAAGCAGAGTGGCACTCAAATAAGTAGAGTATGTTTAGGAAGAAAGATGAAAACACTCAAATAAAAAGCTTCTTGATGTGGTTATTATGAAATACTGTGGTAGATAGTGTTCAAGAAGTTTCCACAACTGCAAAGAATAAGCATTCCCCTCCTTATCCTGCAATCAATTAAATGCAGTAGTATGTGGGTTTTTGCTAGTCAAATGTGGAATTAGGATTTCAGGCAATAAACTTTTCAGAAAGCAGATTTGCTTACATGACACACTTTCAAAACAATAAACATAACTGTCTAATGTTGTTTGTTTGCAGTTTTTCCACACAATACTCTAATAGCTTTTTTCATGCAATACTCCCCTTATAAATACCAAGCCTTTTTCCTTTTTTCCCCCTTGCAGTTTACATTACTAAAACCTTATGTCCTTTGGTGCTTATCAGAGTGCCTAGCTCTTGGTGACAGCTGACAGTGTTTAGATGAATAGAATTATCTTGATGTTTCTATCACTAAAGGAACAGTTAAACCAGAATGGCCATCATCTGTCATTGCTCACAACTTCAATGGGAGTTAAATACTAGTATTGGAGGAAAGAGTATAGACACTTGCATTTAACAGTGAAAAGCTTCAGCAGACGCTTTATGCAAATATATTTCCAAGAAGGTGGAACATACTGGACTGTAGAATACTGAATTCAGTAAATACTGACTCCAGAAGCAAGCCTTTTAGTACCACAATTCTAAAAGAACCAGTTCTTAAAGACAAATTTGTCTTTCTTTTTTCAGAACAAAAATACGGAGCTGGCATCTACTTTAAGAGGAACCCCAAAAGCCTAATCGAGGCTAAAGACAAGCGGGAAACAGATTCTATAATGTGTGTGTTTGAGGCGGAGGTATTAACAGGCTCATACACTAGAGGTAAACAGTCTTATATTATGCCACCAGCAGTGGAGGGAGATGCCATTAAAGTATGTGACAGTTTAGTAGATGATGTAAATGATCCTAACATCTTTGTCATTTTCAACAGTATTCAGGCCCTTCCACAGTATTTGTTGACTTGTTCCCAGACTGGGGTGGGAAGGTCTGGGCCCTCTGAGAAAAGCAGCAGCGCGTTGAGTCATAATCAATCAGAACGATGATTGCTCTAGCTATGCAGAGACCACCTCAAAAAAAAAAAAAAAAAAGTCTAGTACTTAGATTCTAAGAGGATGCTCTTAGAATAACCTGCTTTAATCAAAGTGCCTTAAGACAAATCTGAAGCAACCAGAAGAACTATACTTTGATACCTTAAGGAGTTTAAAACAAACCATGTTAAAACAAACTATTCATCTATGAATCAAAATGGAGAGCATCACAACATAATTTAGAGTTCAGATGGTCATTTAGTTTATGTCTTAAAGTATTCTTAGTGTGCAACTATACACTTGATGTTTCCATAAACTGTCATTCATTTATTACACTTTCTTAATCTGAGGCAATGCATTCATTAATGAAACAAAGGAATCAAAGGCACAACCTAGATTTCTTAAGTTTTGTTTTGACTTGAAGAGGTGAACATGTCAGGTGAATACTGTTTTCCACCTAAGGCTATGCTATTAAATTCACATAGTTATGATAAGTGAGGCAATACTTCATGATTTTTAATAGTTGTTGCTATTACAATTTTTATTACAAGTGATTCCAAGTATTGTAGATACATGTATTCAAAATAAAAAAGTATGACAATATCAACCAATCTGTTATGTCTTTCTGTAAGTATTAAGAATGCAACTTGGACTGTATTCAAGCCTCAGAGTAGTCTGAACCCTAAGTATAACCAAGGTTTAATGAAACTTTTCAAGAGGAACTTGTGCAAGTAAGTTCACAACACATTTGTACTGTATCTCCAACTCCCCAGGTAGGGGGTTACAGTGCTAGGAACAGGTCCAAGGCCCAAAAGAAATTCAGTTATAAAAGCATAATTCAGAACTGCAAATGAGGTTGTCAGTGGAGAATTTTGAGAATCACTGCAAGACAAACATTTAAGTAAATATATTCATGTTTTGTCACGCCTCATCCCCCTCCCCCCCCTTTTAAAGGCTAGCTAAGTCTGCCCTGTTTCTGAAGGGTAGCCTCTACAGTATGTGGGGCCAGTATGTTCTAATGATCATCTCCATTGCTGCCTCATGGAGAATTTGTGACTACCCAGTGCACACTGGTGTCAGATGGGCAAAAAGTCCTTGTGAGCTTGTAAGAACCATCTAAAACACACACAAGTCGTGGCTCTAACAGAAATCCCAAGGCTGCTTTTAGACAGTACCCTGGAAGCTTGAAGACAATTATTCTATTTCTGTTTCAGCTTTTCCATTCAAGCAGTATATTCTTCTTATCCATTCCTGTCCTATTCCCCCCCCCCCTCACATTTTCTTATTCACGCATTACTGCCAAGAAAACAGAGCTGTTGATTTAAGGTTTGCTAAACAGCATTGAGTCAGAATGGTCTCTTATTCCAGCTTGCTTCAAGGTATTTCAGTTTTTGAAAGGAGGTTCATGGCAGAGAAACTGGGGGGTTGAGTGGCAGCAGGAGGAACCAGAACTCACTGCAGAAAGTTTCTTAGCTACTGCAACAATTAGTAGTAGACATCAATTTTCAGAAAACCCTAGGGAGGTGTCCAGTTTCTTTCTGGACAAGTATAACATCTTTCTTCTTACTCTGAAAAAGATGATGTAGAAACAAGTTTTCATTGTTCAGTATTATTTTTAACACTGTTATACAGGTGTTAACAATGTATTTCTGTAGTATTTTTATTGACTTATGTAACTATTTTCCTAACTGCACCTGAAAAACACAGAGTTAGTGTAATAGATAAAAAAAAAAATACTGAGAAAATTAACAGCTTACTCCAGTGCCCAGCATGTGCTTTCTCCTCACTCCACATATACCCACAGTTTGAAGGAATTCAGTCTTTCTGAATATGGATCTTGCATTTTATTATAGCAAAGTTTTTTCTAATATATAATTTCTACTTCAGTTCCCCTGCCCTCCTTGCACTTATTATATATAGAAAGAATATATATATATAACACTACAAAAAGGTTATGTTGGAGGTTGTATATAATTATTTTCATCTGGTCCTCAAAAAGATGAATTTCAGATACAGAAGCTAGAAAATAAAACCAGCACAAAGTAGATGTACTAAGTAGTACATATAAAAATAATTACCACAGTAATCGAAAATTCCTGATCTTAGTCCTACAACAATCAGTTAACTAGAGGCTACTCCACAGCCTCTGGGATTTCTCTGTCATCCACAATAAGGGTATGAATAATTCCTTCCCTTCGTTTCCCACTACTGACAGCCTTAATGCAACAGCTGTGATCACCAACACTGAAGTGAGTTTCAGTCCCATCTTCTACAAATTCACCCTAGGAGAAAGGAGGCAATATAATAGACAAGTGCTGTTTTAATAAAATAAAAATCACAATGCATCAGGCTGTTTCCAAGGTCCCAATCAACTAGCTCCCGTAACTAGAGCAGCCATACTAGGTACTGGTGACAAAATACAGCACACTTGCTGAACAAGGATGCAAAGTCTCAGATGCTGCTTTGTCAAGGCTAGCAGTTACAGATCTGTGTTTAAGCGATAATCAAAATTTCTCGTGATCAAGAAGGGAAGAGTTCGAGTTCTTCAGACACGTGAATTAATATAGTCAATTCATGTCAGTAAAACAAAAATGGAAAGGCCAATTTTCTGAGATTTGCAGTAGAGCTGGCTTTAGTCAACTGAAGTGGCAATAAAGTGTGAAGGATTTAGCAGCGCCATCTACAGTAGGATGAGTTAATGCCTGAATTAATACTGCCTGAATTAATACTGATAATTATGCATTTTAGATACACAGCTCCTGCATGTGAGCCTGGATTTTGCCACCCATGTCTTCTCCATCTTTGTCATCGTCATTGGGAAAATGGGGAAAAAAAAAAACAGTATGCTACTGACATAAATACAGTTTGACAAACACACACGTATACTCATAGCTTGCAAGACTATCCCGTAGTGCAGTTGTTACAGTGCAGAACTACGTTATAGAAAAGGTTGAGAACCATCAAGAGTAGAAGCTCTGACTCACTGTGAGAGGACGTTTGTCCCACTGACTACTGAAACATTTGATAAATATTTCCATCCTGTTTTCAAGTATAGGAAAACTTGTTCATTTTACATTTTGTATGCATCTGGGGGACTACTCGTGGCAATAATAATCACAGGGACGATTCTCTAGCAAGAAAGCACATCTTTCAAGGATGGGGAAGTGTATGTAACAGGCATACTGAAAACCATCATAAGATAAAGAGACAGTGAATGGATTAAGTCCTTTAGCTGTCAGTCTGTTTTAACGAATAATGCAGAAGTGGCAGAAAGACAAAAAAAAAAAAAATTCTTAAGCCCTAAAAGCCTTCCTAGATTTTCGGGGGGGGGGGGGGAGGGGCCAGAGAAGCTACTCAATAGAGACCAACTTCCTGTCACTACTAACATGATGAGATTTGGATGAGGTGGCTCTACAGTCTGCATCAAACTTGAGTCCTTCCCACTCCTATGGGAAGTTCTCTCTAAAAACCCTGAACAACAGGCCCAGAAGATGTTTTGCTTATCTAAAAAGCGTAACCAAAAGCATTGTTTATGCTTATGTAGACTTTTGATGTTAAGTCAGAATACAAAATACTCTCAGTTATAAGATACAGGGAAGGAAGCTCAGAATGGTTAATAGCATACTAGCAGTCTATGTATTCAAACGTACCCTGTGGCAAAGTGAGGTAACTTGCTCCTCACTGTGGCTTCACTACCATATTAGCAAAATAAGCCACAGTATATCTCCATAAGCTTTGATTATATAGCCACAGCCTATAGAATGACTTTGGAAAATGATCACGTACCGCTGTTTCCATTTTTTCACCATTGCACCACACATCCATAGTGTCCTTTTCTGTGAAGGAAAGGAAAACAAGAAGTAGACAGAACAAGAATTTTTTCCCCACCTACAGATGGAAAGATTTAGGAAAACAAAACAAAAAACAAATCTCCAAGCTCTGTTCCATTCTAATTAAGAACAGCTTTGGGGAACTGAAGTAACTGTAGTACATGGCCTGCATAGTCGGTTCTTATATTGAAGAGACAGAAGGCCCTGCCATCAATGGGCAAGCAACTTTTGCTATAAACATACATTTTTACCTCTCCCTAGCTCTGGCTGTTAACAGTGGATTGCTCTGAATGCTGTCAGAGATGTTCTGGCATCCTCAAACTGAAGAACTTGAGGATAGAAAAATGAAGTAGTCTGTGCCAATTATTTAAGGAGTGTTTATTCAATCAAATCCCAATTTTAACTTCTTTGAGGTATGTTTAAGTAAAGAGCAGCTTTACTTAATATCCACAAAGTTTCAGAGTTCTTAAGATCTCCTTGAAAACTCAAGTTCCATCCATACCATAATATGAAGAATCTTAAAATTGTACTGTTTCAAACAGTATTATTTTATTTTTCCCAGTACAACCTTCTTAAGTTCATTAGCTCTAGAATTCACATTACTGACGCTGCCCTCCACTGGCAATGATTAGAGAGCTGAACCCTGCTCGCCTTTTAATTAAATACAAGGAGACTAAAACTGTGAGGAAAACTAAGCAGGCTGCAGGCTCTGTCATATATTAAGATTGCCCCCCCCCAGTCTTATTTGATCTTAGGATATTCATTCTGTCCTTACGTTTAATAAAGGAGAAAAAAAAAAAAAAAAACATAGTCCCTGATCTCATCTCTGGCTCTAACCTTGCAGCAACACCCAAGAAGCTTCCCCTACTAGATGCAATGGACACAAATTTCCCAGTAGCTTCCTTCTGCCCATCTGCTTGTAGTATTTTTGGGAAAGGGGGACGAAAGAGGAAAGATGTAACCAGACCCTTATTTTTTCAGATCGTTGTCTTTAGCATCTAATTAAGTGTTTCCAGACTACCCAGGATTTTGCACTGCAACAGTGCTAGCCTGAACTATACCTTCTCTTATCTGCCAGTTATTAAATGCACACAAGTTTATTCAAAGGCAACAACATGAAGTCAATATTTACTTACCTAGAACAACTCTATACTCCATGCCATCCAAACTCAGTACCCAAGTATTAGTTGTTTTTGACCTGTTCTCCATATACTTCTTGAGGCTTTTCCCATTGATATCCAACGTATATTCATACGCAAAGCCACTGACTGCATCAATGTTAATAGTAGCTTTTGTTTTAGCTGCTCCAACAGTAAACGTTTCTTTACCCACCAATTTAAACATCCATTCTTTTCTTATTTCTTCCTGTAGGAAAAAAAGCCAAAGACAATGGGTATTAATTAATAAACCTGAATATGTCTCAGGATTGAGACATTTTGAACTAGAACTTGGGCAACAGCCCAGTACTTAACTATTATTTCAGTATGTACGAATTCATAATATTTTGCATGTACAGAGTGCCTCTGCCCAAGGACTGCAAAGCACTTCATGAAGACTCACACCTTAATTGTAACTGAGAAGAGAATTATGTAGTCTATTAGATTACGTAAAGTTAGTCAACCAAATACATCTCACTTGCATTTATTAGTCTTTTGTTTGTTCTGATGCATTCTGCATGGAAGCACACTTACACAGTCTGTATCATAGTGAATTTTGAGCATATAGTAATTTCACCTTTCCATCAACATAGACAACACGTTTTCCTGACGTGGTCCCATGTTCAAATTCAATCTTATGAACACCATCACTTAAAGCTACTTCCCAAACGGCCACCAGATCTGTCATCTTCTCTAAATGGCTGTACCGGGACCTACAGAAACACCAACAAAGTACATTAATTGTGGTTGAGAGAGTTCAAATATTGCTGAATGTAGTTGAAAGCTTTACTACTTTATAGCAAGTCACCTTTTACCAATGAAAAAGTGAGATCTGAAAGAATAAATGTAACCAAATTTTTTTGTTTTCTTAAAAAAAAAAACCATTCAAATATGATAAAACTTGTCACAAAAAATAAGCACAAAGACAGGTAAACAGGTTCACTTTGACTAATACCATACAAGAACATACATCCATCTAACCTCTAAAACTTCCAAGGCAGATGACAACAGAGTTAAAAAACTACACTTACATTCCAGATGCTTATGGACAGTTCTGTGATTTCTTGGCAGTCACTAATACAGTACGCTAACTGGTCTGTTAAAGTGTTTTAGCCTTTTAAACTTGCAAACTAGTTAGGGTGACCAGTTTAGCTATTAAAAAATTTGTCTGTAACCTTTTTCATAAATATTACCTACATCATTCAGAAATGCAACTGTGCATGCACATACATATTACCCCTCCCTCCTTCCAATGGGGGGAAGAGATGTTGAGATATCCTTTCTTTAAGTGGTTTTTAAAACTCAGGTAAACTCTTAAGTGACTGCTGAAATTGTGGATATCTTTTCAAACCTGTTCATGCTGCAGTTCTGTTTTTTACCTTAGTTCATCTTCACCGACAGTAATCTCCTCACAGGATGCCATAGTAATCAAAACAGCTCTTAATCCAATTAGCAGCAAGAAAAAAAGAAAAGCTGAATAGCAATAGAGAAGCATTGAGAACTAGATTTTCCTAGTTTTCTCCATTTAAGATTATAGATCTTTTTAAAAAAGTGTGATGAACTATCATGTATTATTCATATATGTGATTTTTTTCCTCTTAGACAAAAAGGCAAATACAAGTTTATTTGGAAGTATTACTTTACAAAATTAGTATGGGCGATTTTTCCTAACTTTATTAGCACAGCCTAGCTTTGTCATGTATTTGATGAAAAGTACTTTGCCCGATTTACGAGAGAAAGTTTTGAAACGGACCTGACCAAAACAGGAACCAAATCCAGAACTTCACAGCTCAGTCACCAACTGTAACACACCGGAGACCATTGCCACTAGAGGCAAAATGAAATAGTGCCCGAGAAGAGGATATCAAATACTGCTTGGGAGAGCAGACAGGATGCAGGAGTCCTTATGGTCCACAGTCAGTGCAATATTCAAATCCTGAGTGAAGTGGAAGCCTTGTTCTTGTCTCAGACCTCTAAACATAAGCACCAGAGCCAGACTCAACAATTTTGACTTAATAGCTTTGCTAAACCACTGTAGCAGTTTTCAATAGTCATGGTAGCAATTTGACCTGGCAATTCAACCATAAAAATCTGTATTTACCAGAAATAAACAATGCAAGCACCATCAAAAAGCCTTCTAAGTAAGAAGTAGTGATTTATGTGTTCCTACAACACTGCTAACCTGTTTTTAATCCTTATCCTTTTCATTAAACACAATAGTTTGTGTAGGATCTATTTTCATTAAAAGCTGTCTTTTAAACTGTACTGTTAATCACATAAGCTGTAACAGACCTCCCAGTTGTCAGAGAATCATTTAAGCCGGTGGAACATAAAAGCATAAGAATACTGTACTCTATTTTTCTTCCAACACACGGCCTATTGCTCTAATCCAAAGTAGCTACCAATAGGTATAATTTCATTCAATGCAAATAACTCATTTTTGGTAAATAAATGGTACTTTTCCTTGAAAAAATGAATTAAAGTCAAGTCATGAGTTCTAGGATCTCTCTTGAGCATAATAGTTAATGCATTTAACATTAGGCCTCCTTCAGTGTAACTTGTTTCTGCTCTAAAGCACGCTCAATAGCATTGCTATATTACTGTCTATTATCTTTTTCCTCAGCAACCCTACAAATTTCTGCTCGTGAACTGCAAAGTAAGTTCCAAAGACTGTGAGTTCATTTTTAAGAATATAAGGATTTAATTCTCCCATTTGTGAGTTGTGTATGTCAACTAATAATGACAACAAGGGGGTCTTTTTGTTGCTTTTGAAGTTTACAGTTTGGTTTCCATAAAGATTCTTATCCTCTGGAGCATCAGGGAAGTTGGGAAACGGTTATTATTTCTGCACCTCCTTTCTAAGGATTAAAAAAAGAGAAAGAGACTCTTACTGGCTCAGGACAGACTTACGCCGCCTGCCTCGACCATCTTATCAACACAGCAGCGACCTCAAGTTACAAAAAGTGCCAAAGAGGTGGAACCGGAGCACGTTTCCAGCCTGCTCGCAGACCCTGCATCCCCTGCGGTGGCATGCAACCCGGCCCTATGAAGTTTAGCAGCTAATTTAGCATCAATATTGAAAAGGCTACAAAATAACGGAAACTACACAGTCTCCTCCCCCAATCACTTCGTAACACGCTTTTCGAATCAAATCTGGGCACAAAACCCAGTCTCTAGGTCAGCTTCACCCTATCTAGAGGATGGGCAATACCCATGGAGCATAAAGTGAGAGCAGCACGCAGGAGACGCTGACTGACTAAGAAAACCTCTACCGCAGAACCGGCCCGCAAAAAAAAAAAAAAAAAGGGAAAATAAGAAAAATTACTTACTGCCTTGAATCAGTCCCTGGGACTCCGGGCAAAGCAAACCCCCCCACCCTAGCTCTGGCCGCTGCCAGGCGGCACTTAGC